TTAGTAGGGGAGAGCTTGCAAAGACTGTAGACAAGAAAAACGCAGATTTTGCGATATTGGGTACATCAGCAAACAGTGATTTGTATTTGAGCAGTAATATGTTCCTTTAACTGGAAAAGCACATGTGCTATACTGTTGCACAATATTTGGGGCCTTTTTTGACTATCAGTGCTTGCCTGCTACAAGTATTTACACCACCAGATATACATATTACATGCTTTTTTTTCTTTCTGATTTTCAATCAATATTTTCATCACTTACATATTCTCATCCAGCCTCTAACTAGTCCTATCGCTGGCAAAGCTTTATAGCTGTTATAGTTTTAAAACAACTGGGGAGTTTCATGTCCACTTTCACAATGGTTTAAGGGAAATATTCCAGAACTTTAATAGTTATGTACAAGGCAGATCAAAGATTAAAGGAATTCCTATATTTTCTATACTTCTTTTGCAATCCCTATACATGCTTCTACATGCTGTGTGCTATCTGAGCACTATACTTTCTATGGTTATAAATACAAACTCTGTAGATGTTTGAACCTTTCCTTACTGAGATAAACATAGTGTTAAGTTCGTTTTCTTAAGCTATAAGTACTTTTTGTTGTAATTTTTGTCATTAATCGGTTATTTTCAGTTACTCGTGTTGCAGACCGTAAAAGATAAATTGATGTTTTGAATAGAATTAGCAATCCTTCCTGTTGGAACATGAAAGTATTAGCATAGATCTTTCCTCATTAACCATAGCAGGGCTTTTGTTTTATTCATGTTTTATAAATCTATCTTTCTTCAGTACGATTACATGTACAAATATTTTCTATGTATTTCCAACCAACACAGGATCAGCATTTTCTGCAACGATTCTTGCAAGAACCAGGACGTAACAAAAATATTTGCTTACACTGTGAGAGCCTACCTACATATAAACTTATAATCTCCTGCATAAATGAGGGATATGTCAGGTTTCTACTGAGTAGTTTCATTTATGAAAAACATGAATGTAGCTATATGGTGCACTTAAAGATAAAGATCGTGCCTTTTGTTTCTGTTTATGCTGCCCTAGCTACGTCAACTTTGACTGACTCTCACAATCTCATGTCTACCAACCATCCTGATGTTCTGTCCTGTATTTAGTTTAAGCATTAGATCTTTCTTTACAGGAAGTGTTAAGGAAGGCTGTGTGAGTCACATGCAAGGAGGTGTGACTAGGACTGCATACACAAAGTAATTTAACTCCTAAATGGCAATAACTGAGCAGTGAGACTGCAGGGCCATGATCTATACCAGGGGTAGGCAACCTTTGGCACTCCAGATGTTGTGGACTAAATGTCCTAAAATGCTCTTATAGCCATAATGCTGGCAAAGAGTCAGAGAAGATGTAGTACACAACATCTGGAGTGTCTACCCCTGATCTATACACTGAAACAGTTTCAGTATCCTTTTAAGTGATTCTGGACCTTATTATTAATTTAATACTTTATTGCCGATGTATATTCTTTAGGTTCTTGCTCTAATAATCCATTAACTTTTTAAACGAACCTACAAGTAACAAGACAGTCTTAACCTAGGGATTATTAATATTCAATTTTAAATCCTGCAAATGGTATAAATTATATTCTTGAAACTCATTTATTTGTCTCTGTGGATCAGTTTCCCTAGTAACACTGATGGGCACTTTCTGGAACTTGACCCACTTTTCTTGAGTCAGCTATTTTTCTCCTTCTTACAACTGGATCCACATTGAAACCCCTATGCACTCAATGACAAGATGTGGCTGTAGGCCACAAGTCTTATAAATTCCACTCTGGCAAGAAAAAGCTCACATTTTATATTGTCATTGCTAAAGCACATGAATATGTAAACTGGATGGTTAAAGGGACACTCCACTTCCAAAATATAAATCAAATTTAAAAACAAGTTAAACTTTTAACCCCTTCCCGACCCAGGACGGTTCAGGACCGTCATCAGCATTTTTGGCTTGCCGACCGATGATGGTCCTGAACCGTCCTAACGGTCTGAGCTACTTACCTGATCGCCGTCGTTCCCCCGGCGGTGATCAGTGTTGCTCCGGTTGTGGGGAGACTGCCTGCAGCCCAGACAGTCTCCCCACACTGAATTAGGACCCCTGTGGCCATGTGATCGCTTAACACAGCGATCACATGGTCACAATAGGTGTCCATGTGTCTGCCTGCAGGGGGACTGTCTGTGCTGACAGGCAGTCTCCCTGCTTGTGTAAAATCAGAAAAAATAAATAAAGTTAGTGTTAATTAAAAAAATAAAATAATTATATATGTGTATATATGATATATAGACATATATTATATCTATATAATATATGTCTATATATCATATATATAATGCCATACTAAGTGTATTTTTATATTAATATGTACTTATATTAATATAAAAATACACTTATAATTAAATTACACACGTATATATATAATATATATAATAACTATATATATTGTATATATATATTATTATAAAATATAAATAATAAGTAATTTAAATTAAATAATTTTTTTTTAAAATAATAATAAAAAATTTTAAAAAAATTATATAGCTATATGAAATTTTATTCTAACTGTATTTTAAAATTAATATATATATATTTATATCAAAATACACTTAGAATGAATTTGTATATATATCTATGTATATAAAAATAAATAAAAATAATAAAATATACATATGTCCATATACAAAATTACATAAATAATTATATAAATATACACGTAGACTTAAACTATATAAATATGCATATATATTTAAATTCTACGTGCATATTTATGTAATATTTTTACATAATTCAGTAATTTTATTGATTGCAATTTGAGGGACCTGCCTGCCAACCCAGGCCGAAATTCCAGAGAATTGAATTTGCTAGCACTGTATTTTACCCTGTAATGTTCTACGACACCCTAAAACCTGTACATGGGGGGTACTGTTTTACTCGGGAGACTTCGCTGAACACAAATATTAGTGATTCAAAACAGTAAAACATATCACAGCGATGATATTGTCAGTGAAAGTTACTTTTTTTGCATTTTTCACACACAAACAGCACTTTTACTGATGATATAATTGTTGTGATACGTTTTCAGTTTTTAAACACTAATATTTGTGTTCAGCGATGTCTCCCGAGTAAAACAGTACCCCCCATGTACAGATTTTATAGCATTTTTGAAAGTTACAAGGTCAAATATATGGGTCAAATATTTTTACATTGAAAATGGCCAGGTTGGTTACGTTGCCTTTGAGAGCGTATGGTAGCCCAGGAATGAGAATTACCCCCATGATGGCATACCATTTGCAAAAGAAGACAACCCAAGGTATTGCAAATGGGGTATGTCCAGTCTTTTTTAGTAACCACTTGGTCACAAACACTGGCCAAAATTAGCGTTCAATTTAGTTTTTTTACTTTTTTCACACACAAACAAATATGAATGCTTACTTTGGCCAGTGTTTTCGACTAAGTGGCTACTAAAAAAGACTGGACATACCCCATATTGAATACCCTGGGTTGTCTACTTTAAAAAAAATATGTACATGTGGGGTGTTATTCAGAGATTTATGACAGATAATAGTGTCACTATTGATACATTTTAAAAATGTATGTTTTAAAACTGCAATATCCTACTTGTACCTATAGCCCTATAACATGCAAAAAAAAGCAAAAAAGCACGTAAACACTAGGTATTTTTAAACTCAGGACAAAATTTTGAATCTATTTAGCAGTTTTTTCATTCGCTTTTGTAGATGAGTAAAAGATTTTTCAAGTAAAAGTCAAAAAACATGTATTTTTTTCAATTTTTCATCATTTTTTTATTTTTTTTAAATTAAAATACATGAGATTATATAAATAATGGTATGTAAATAAAGCCCCTTTTGTCCTGAAAATAGCAATATATAATTTGTATGGGAACAGTAAATGAGAAAGCGGAAAATTACAGCCAAACACAAACACCACAAAAGTGTAAAAATATGCCTGGTCGCAAATGTACAACATCGCAAAAACAGTCCAGTCCTTAAGGGGTTAACTTTTTTTAATTCAGCGCATGGATAGTACTGCTACTATACTACACTATCCTGTATTATCTGTTTTTTGTTCCATATACTACTAAGGCCATTTAGGGCACTTCATCCCCCCCGTTCTGCAAATAAAATAAAGGTAGCTGTTTAATAGATATATCCTCAAAACATGCATGTATTTAATTTTGTATTTTTTCCTTGGGGTGTATCTGAAACAGCTTGAAAAAGCTGCACGTCTTGTCTGCAGCCTTTGCAACCCTTTCCTTCTTCCCAGACTTTTTGTGGCTGTCCATTCACAGACATTCCAATGCAGCTCAGTGAGAAGTCTTTGCAAGGCAGGTGCTCTGAGCTATTACCTGACTCCTAAGTTTGGCTCCACTGAGCTAAGTAAGCAGAAAATAACAGGACTTGTTGTCTGGCTGACAGTTGGGGGAGTGTAACCAGGTTAATTTATAATTATATAATAATATAATTTATAAAAGTGTCAATTTGGGCAGAGCCTGACCTTCAAGCTAGCCAGATGTGAACCGTACAAGCTCCTGAATTTCTCGCTGAAATTTGGGAATTATACCCGATCTACTGGTTCTCACGTCTTACCTTCTGTGCAGGGGCGGACTGAGAGCCTTTGGGGCCCCCGGGCAAAATTAGATCCCAGGCCCTTTGAAGGCCAAATATATGTGCATTAAATAAATGTTAAATATAACTCATAATACGGCATTCCTTTGGATGTGTATATTGTGAAGACCTGTGTATCAATGCATGTTTGTATTTGAGTCTATGTGAATGCACTTGTGCATGTCTGGATGACTACATGTGCTTTTTTGTATATAGTGTCTGTGTGAATGCATATGTGACAGGTGACAGAGTGTGTGAGGGAGAAGGTGACAGGTGGAAGAGTGTGGGAGCTTGTGACAGGTGGCAGAGTGAGGGGGTACCTGGTGGCAGAGTGAGGGAGGGAGGGGTTGAGTGGTGGCAGAGTGAGGGGCAGACACAGTGAGTTGGGGTGATTGGTGACAGAGTGAGGGAGTGGGTGATTAGTGACAGAGGGAGGGAGAGGGGGTGACTAGTGACAGAGGGAGGGAGAGGGGGTGACTAGTGACAGAGTGAGGGGATGACTGGTGACAGAGTGAGGGAGTGACTAGTGACAGAGGGAGATAGTGACTAGTGACAGAGTGTCACTAGTCACCCCATCCCTCTCTCTGTCACTAGTCACTCCCTCCCTACCTCTGTCACTGTGTCACCCGCTGCCTCACTCTGTCACTAGTCACCCCATCCCTCTCTCTGTCACTAGTCACCCCATCCCTTTTTCTGTCACTAGTCACTCCCTCCCTAACTCTGTCACTGTGAAGGAAGGAAGGGGTGACTGGTGACAGAGTGAGGGGATGACTGGTTACAGAGTGAGGGATGGGATGACTAGTGGCAGAGTGAGGGAAGGAAGGGATGACTGGTGACAGAGTGAGGGAATGACTGGTGACAGAATGAGAGAGGGGGTGACTAGTGACAGAGTGAGAGAGGGGGTGACTAGTGACAGAGGGAGGGAGGGAGTGGGTGACTAGTGACAGAGTGAGGAAGGGGGTGACACAGTGACAGAGTGAGGATGGGGGTGACACAGTGACAGAGTGAAGGAGGTGGTGACTGTCACTAGTCACCCCATCCCTCCCTCTGTCACTAATCACCTCCTCCCTCACTCTGTCACTAGTCACCCCTTCCCTCTCTCACTCTGTCACTAGTCACCCCCTCCCTCTCTCTGTCACTAGTCACACCCTCCCTCACTCTGTCACTAGTCACAACCTTCCTCACGGTTAGGGAGGGAGTGGGTGACTAGTGGCAGAGTGAGGGAAGGAAGGGGTTACTAGTGACAGAGTGAGGGGATGACTGGTGACAGAGTGAGGGAGGGAGTGGGTGACCAGTGACAGAGGGAGGGGGTGACACAGTGACAGAGTGAGGGAGGTGGTGACAGTGACAGAGTAAGGGAGGTGGTGACTGTCACTAGTCACCACCTCCCTCACTCTGTCCCTAGTCACCCCTCCCTCTGTCACTAGTCACCCCCTTCCTCACTCTGTCACTAGTCACCCCTTCCCTCCCTAACTCTGTCACTAGTCACCCCCTCCCTCACTCTGTCACTAGTCACACCCTCCCTCACTCTGTCACTAGAGTGAGGGGGTGACTAGTGGCAGAGTGAGGGAAGGAAGGAGTGACTAGTGACAGAGTGAGGGAGGTGGTGACTGTCACTAGTCATCACCTCCCTCACTCTGTCACTAGTCACCACCTCCCTCTGTCACTACTCCCTCCCTCCTTCTGTCATTAGTCACCCCCTCCGTCCCTTACTCTGTCACTAGTCACCCCCTCCCTCACTCTGTCACCAGTCATCCCCTCCCTCTGTCACCTGTCACCCCCTCACTCTGTCACTAGTCACCCCCTCACTCTGTCACTAGTCACCCCCTCACTCTAGTGACAGAGTGAGGGAGGGTGTGACTAGTGACAGAGTGAGGGAGAGGGTGACTAGTGACAGAGTGAGGGAGTGATTAGTGACAGAGTGAGGGAGGGAATGGGTGACTAGTGATGGGGGGGTGACTAGTGAGGGAGGGTGTGACTAGTGACAGAATGAGGGAGTGGGTGACTAGTGACAGAGGGAGGGAGATGGTGACTAGTGACACAGTGAGGGAGGTGGTGACTCTCGCTAGTCACCCCATCCCTCCCTCTGTCACTAGTCACTCCCTCCCTAACTCTGTCACTAGTCATCCCTTCACTCTGTCACTAGTCACCCACTCCCGCACTCTGTCACTAGTCACCCCCTCCCTCTGTCACTGTGTCACCCCATCCCTCCTTCTGTCACTAGTCACGCCCTCCTTAACTCTGTCACTAGTCATCCCCTCCCTCACTCTGTCATCAGTCACCCCCTCCCTCTGTCACTGTGTCACCCCATCCCTGCCTCTGTCACTAGTCACTCCCTCCTTAACTCTGTCACTAGTCATCCCCTCCCTCACTCTGTCATCAGTCACCCCCTCCCTCTGTCACTAGTCACCCTCTCCCTCACTCTGTCACTAGAGTGAGTGGGTGACTAGTGACAGAGTGAGGGAGGGGATGACCAGTGACAGAGGGAGGGGGTGACTAGTGACTGAGTGGGGGAGTGCCCCCTATCCTTTTTCTGTATACATTATATTTGGAATCTAGACCAGATTCCTTAGGGGTTAAGCACCCCGTCCAGGCCCCCCAGCTTCAGAGGCTCCTTTAGAGGTGGCCACAGGTGTGTATATATAGGAGGAGTTTCTCAATAGTCAAGTCACTTTTATTATTTTCTCTAGTCAGCACAGATATCATCTGCAATAGTGAGTATACTCATTTTAGCACTAACACATTATTTGTTTAGTTTTAACACTGTTTTTAATTGATTTCATCACTTATTTTTGTATACTCACCATGCTCTTATCAGGATTTAATTTAACACTTGTTATTTTAACACTAGTACTATTTAATTTGTCCCCCACATTTTTAGCGTAGGACCCACCAATATTGGGGTACTTTGAAAGTACTGGTGGGCTTAACAACATATGGCCATATGGTGGAACTAAATCCCCATATTTATTCTCAGATAGGCATTTTAGTAGCCTTCTTTGTATTATATGTTTTTGTAGTCTGAGTACCTGAGTCTGTGGCACAGTGATGCCAGCTCTCACCTGGGGCTAGAGGGGCACCCAATTCTGGCGCAAAGTCCTCTCAGGCGGTGTACCAATCGAGCCGCTTATGGGAGTCGGATGATATTGCATGAGGGCCTACCGCCATTCTCCATTTAGCAACAGCAGATGGCTTCTAACTGGACTTACAACCAAGCAACGTTTTTTCTTGTCTTTATTTTTAATGTTAAACTTTCATTTCTTATTGAGGTACAGTGCAGGGAAGTTACATATTATGCCCAAGGTTTTATTTCTTGAACCTAGCATGTTTCATTGCAATTAACTCTAGCTACTTCTTACCTAGTCTAAAAAGACTTCAGTTCAATAGGTGCAAAATGTCTAGCCATGTGACTAGCCTTGACTATCTAGGGTTATTCTCCTCTCTCAACATACCTAGATAAACATCTTAGTTTAAAGTATTTTGTAGAGAACTTCCATGTAGACTTAGCCAAGCTTGTTATATTATTACTTTAAAATGAGGTCAGTCTCTCTGCTATATGCTTTCATGATATGCACGTTTGTTTGTATACCCTTTCATAATGTCTTACTGTATGGATAAGCTTATGCCTCAATAAAAAACAAAGTTTGACACAAATTTTTTTTTAATTTCTATTGAAATCAGCACTTATTTTAAAATAATATAGAGATTTTCAAACACTGTCTGAACCAAGGTGCATGTATACAGAGCTGAAGGATCATTGGCGTGTGGGCTATGGTATGTGATTGTGGTAATGTTAGGGACAATGCTCCTCCTATGTGCCAGGCTGGGGGTTGTACCTCCGTGCTGCTGATGGGGATGGAGCCCATGCAGAGCGCTCAGTGTGGTGTGCAGGAAAGGGTCAGGAAGCCACAGGGAGATATGGGATGTGCAGGAAAGGGTCAGGAAGCCACAGGTTGATATGGGGCGAAGGGACATGGCAATCTACTGAAGTGTAAGTAACCTAGCATGAGTGATCAGACACAGACCTTAGTGGCACTGTGAGTAACCTGAAGTAGACCTGAGTGACACTGTGAGTGAGGGATCTAACATACACCTGGGTGACACTGTGAGTGTAGTATGTGACATACAGCTGAGTTATCCGCCCCTTTCTTACACAAGATGCTACTAAAGAGCTTGTCCATGCTCTAGTAATCTCTCGCATGGACTATTGTAACTCTCTCCTAATTTGTCTTCCCAATAGCCGCATTGCCCCGCTACAGTCTGTAATGAATGCTGCTGCCAGACTGATTTTCCTCTCTAGTCGGTCCTCTCACACCTAACCCCTCTGTCAGTCCTTACATTGGCTTCCTGTATCCTATAGGAGTCAATTCAAATTGCTAACCCATACCTATAAAGCACTGAATAATCTTAGCCCCTCTTATATCTCCTCACAGATCCATAGGTATGCCCCTTTTCGGTCTCTCCGCTCTGCCCGTGACCTTCTTCTGTCCGCTGCTCGTACCCGTACGGCCAACTCGCCCTTGCAAGACTTTTCGCGGGCGGCTCCCGTCCTATGGAATAGCCTGCCTACCCTAGTCTTCAATCATTTAAGAAGTGCCTTAAAACTAGTTTCTTTAGGAAAGCCTATGGCCTCCCAGACTAACCTCTAAAGGGTAGCACTCTACTCTCTCCTCCAGCTCTGCTTCACTCCCACCTATTTTGACTTCTATTCCCTGTCCTAATGTGTTTTATACCCCACCTCTTATAGACTGTAAGCTCGTTTGAGCAGGGCCCTCTTCAACCCTTTGATTCTGTGAGTTTTCTTGTAATTGTCAAATCCGCCCTCTAATAATATTGTAAAGCGCTATGGAATCTGTTGGCGCCATATAAATCGCAATAATAATAATAATAATAAATGTAATAAGCAGTCAGTATGTGTGTAACAGGCAGTCACTGTGTGTAACAGACAGGCACTCTGCTTACCTCCCAATTGTCACTATTTATGAGAGAGACTGTACTTATTTTTGGCCCAAGTCCCTTTGTCCCTCTTTTCTATTCTAATGCCTCTCTTTTATAGGACAGCCAGCACACACAACACACAATCACATCACATACAGCTAGCACACACATTACATACAGCTTGATGGCAGCTTCAACATGGATGCTGTCCAGGAGGTGGCAGGGTCTGGGAGGGAGGGTCTGCTGGAGATTGGCCGGGATGTGTCAGCTGACCGGAACTCGCCGCGAACGGTTCGTGGCGAACCGTGGCGAGCCGTTCGCGGGAAGTTCGCGAACGGTTTGCGACATCACTACTGGGAGATACTGGCACATATACCAAATTAGGTATGTACCCTACGAAACAAATAAAAGAACAATTCAAGACAATAATAACGTCAGTTTTCAATAAAGGCATTTTAAGTAAGTCAGAAAAAGAGTATATAGACATCAAATTTGAGAACACACCTATTTTCTACTTCCTACCTAAAGTCCACAAAAACTTAGAGAGACCACCAGGAAGCCCCATCATTTCTGGTATAAATTCAATCTCATGTAGGCTATCTGAAAATGTAGATCACATGCTCTAATCCATAGTACAGAAAAGTCCATCATATCGAAAAGACACAACTAATATTCTCCAGATTCTCAAAGACATAATTTGTCAGGAAGACTTCCTACTAGTAACAGCCGACAGTCTCCTCTCTCAACACCAGTATTAGACATGATCTAAGAGTTTTTTCTATCGAATCCTTAAATTAGCTGTTTAAATGTAGTAACATGATTAACTAGGACAGTGATCCACTTCAATGTAAAATGCTGGATCTTGTATGCACACATATGTGGTATTTGCATAAGATTTTTACATAAGTGTAATTCATGAAATATATAATTATTTGTATTTTACTATTATATGCACTGTTTGATTTTATATATGGGCAACACAATGTTAGGAATTGTACGAGAAAATCCATTATGTAAATGAGGCAATTTGGAGCAGCCAATGAGGACTGGAGATCTTGCCCTTATATGCCCATCTCCAGTATGGAGCCATCAGCAGGCCCTGAGGAAGCCGTAACTAAACAGCGAAACGCGTTGACATCATTGAGAGGGGCGGAGCTTGCAGATCTGAAGTATACGACCGTAAAGTGAATAGAACTGAGCCTGTTGGCAAAACGCTGCCAGCAGCAAAAGAGGACCTTATCCTGCTTCTGGAGACGCTTGCAGCCCATTTACATTGAGCCTGATTAGTAAGTAACGGTATAAGCCGCATTTACTCACCACCTGTTCTCGTAAGAAGCAGAGTTTTTAATTGTTTTTTTTTTCTCATTTATTTCTGTTTACAATAAAATATGCTATAAGATTCATATCACCTATCCTTTAAAAGGATTATTCCTTACTCATATATATTCTTTAAAGGATATTAACTGTATGATGAGCTTAAAAACTTCTATGTAAGCTCCAGATATACACACTATAAGAGTGATAATTGTGTATGATATGATAATTAGAGATTGTTAAAACGGTCTATACTATTTGTTTCTTCTGTTCTCTTTTTACATGTTCTTTGCACATTAATGAAACGCCACCTATTGGAGGACATACATAATACGGTTGTATATATTTATATAATACTATTTAATACTGCTCCACTTATAATTACATTATCGTTTTGTCCTGGATTGGTGAATTGGGATTGCACCTAAGTGTGTAGTAGTTATAAATTTAGTAAGCCACTGTAGTGCTTCCTTCTACCTGTTCTAA